TGTTTTTTTGGTAGTAGCCATCCTGATGGGCGCGAAGCGTCCTTTACATCTGTGCATCATAAAAAAACAACTGTTCTAGGTAGAAATCTGACAGAGAGGGAGGGTGGGGTCAACGTAACTCCAGCCACCCACGGGCTGCTCCCTCCACACCTCCAGCCTCGGTCTCCTCCTCTGTAAGATGGGGTTCGTGACAGGAGCTGCCTCATTGTTAATGAGGTCATCCTTGTCAAGCACGTAGCACCCTGCCTGGCACACAGTATCTGCTTCGTAGATAATAGTTTTTTTGTTTTTTTGAGGAAGATTAGCCCTGAGCTAACATCTGCTGCCACTCTTCCTCTTTTTTGCTGAGGGAGACTGGCCCTGAGCTAACATTGTGCCCATCTTCCTCTACTTTATATGTGGGACACCTACCACGGCATGGCTTTTGCCAAGTGGTGCCATGTCCGCACCCGGGAACTGAACTGGTGAACCCTGGGCTGCTGAAGCGGAATGTGCACCCTTAACCACTGGGCCACTGGGCTGGCCCCAATAATAGTTATTTTTGTTCTTAGCATTCAAAAGCTCTGAAAGTGGGCAGGAGAGAAAGTTTGCACCTCCACGTTTTGAAGCGGTGGAGAGAGCACAGCTCAGAGGGAACTTCTGGTACTGAGGCTCAAAAAGAAAACTGTTTGCACAAACAACATTAATGGAAATAAAAAGGAATTTTAAAATGAAAGGGAATGTTAAAATTTTAACATTCTACGAACAATTCCATCCCAGGTCCCCGACACTTTTTGTTTTCCTTTGTCCCTGTTCTCTTCCAGACCTTGACTGTTTGTGTCAGCAATCTTTGCTGTTGTCACAGCCTTGAGTACAACAAGATGTCCCACTGCCACCGTTTTCCCAACAGATTATCATAAGCGCTTTTCGCTTCCATGCGCAGACCTCCCACCCTCACCTTCAGAGATGCAGGCCAGCCCCTCCCTGTGGCTGAGAGACTTTCTCCTTTCGTGGAGAGAGTGGGTTATTGCTAGGTGTTTGCTATTCTAGCCACAACAACCATCTTTTCCGATCGCAGACTCAGGCCGTGGGGCGTGAGGGGCCTTTAAGACCCTTGGGGCGTTCTGGGCATGCTGGGAACTGGAGGTCTCGTCTGCCTGCCAATGTTGCAACCTTTGGGACATTTCAAATGGCTTATGAGTCCTGAGTTTTTTCCAATAAGGGTTATCACCCCAAATCCAGGCTGCGTCGTTGCTGCTGCTGGATAGATAACACTGCAGTGGACATCTTTGCGTGTATGACTTTCCCTTCTTTTCGATTCCTTCGTAGGATAGGTTTTTAGAAGTGAGATTACAGGGTCAAACATAAGTGAGTGTTTTGGGGGGAGGTATGTGGTGGAGAAAACACTTGATTTGTCGTCAGAAGATTTTAACTCCAGCTCTTGCCCTCGCCAGCATGTCATTGAGCTCATTTTCTGAACAGGGTTTTTCTCATCGGTAGAATGGTGGTAACACAAGGTTGTTGAGAGTATTAAATGAGAGAAGACAGAAGCTGCCCAGAGTCACATAGCATGGTGCCCAGCTCTTGATGGAGCCTTGGAAATTATCAGTTGCAAGGGAATATTGCCAAATTGCTTTTATAGCTTCCATCGTCCCTGGGCACCAGTGAGCATGTCAATTTTCCCGCACCCACGCCTGCGTTGGATATTATTATTTTCTTCTTTCAGGATGCTCTCCTTTCAGGTAATTTTGCACACTGACTTTGTGTCCAGTGTGGTGTCAGACCCCGGGGATACAGCTGTGAGCCGGACCCAGGAGCCTCCTGGCCAGGAGCTCCCAGTCCAGAGCAGGAAGTAGAGGCGGCGATCACTGCTGGGCGAGGGAGAAGCAGCAGGAGTGAGAGTCCAGAGCCCAGAGACACCTGAACCTGCCCCGGGGCCATCAGGGAAGGCTTCCTGGAGGAGGTGGTGGCCCTGGCGCTGAGACTTGAGGGATGAATAGAGAGTAGCCAGGCAGTGTGGGCATGGCAGTGCAGAGGCATGAAGGCGAGGAAGAGAACAGCGTGTCTCGTGACCTGTCTGGGGTCCATTGTGCTGGAGTAAAGGAGTGCGTGTGAGAGACAGACAGACAGACAGATGGATGAGGGTGTGTGTCAATCATTAGACTGAAGCTGGAGAGATGAAGAGGATCCAGATCCGGCTGGGCCTCCAGGAAGGAGCGTCACATCTTTATCCAGAGGGCGGTGGGGACGCACGCACGGGCTTGGAGCCAGGGAGGGACGTGGTGGTGCCTGTCGATCTCAGATTCACTCTGGCTGCTGCTGGGAGAGTGAATGTCCCTTCTCGGGCTGCCCCTGTGGCACAGTGGTTAAGTGCGCACGCTCCGCTTGGTGGCCCAGGGTTTGCCGGTTTGGATCCCAGGCATGGACCTAGGCAGTACTCATCAGCCATGCTGTGGCAGCCGTCTCACATACAAAATAGAGGAAGACTGGCACAGATGTTAGCTCAGGGCCAATCTTCCTCATCAAAAAAAAAAGTCCCTTCTCAGTGATGTTTTCCTGCCACTCCCTCCTTTATGGTCACTTACCTAACATTCTCTATCTTGCTTAGTTAGGTTGTTTCTTGTCTGTTCCCATCATCCTGATTGTCAGCTCTATGGGAACAGGGCTGTCTACATGTTTTGTTCACTGCTGTGTCCCCGTCACCTGGCCCAGTGCCTGGTACTCGGTGGGTGCTCAGTAATTGTGGAATGAATGAATGAATGAATGAATGAGTGAGTGAGCCAGGGCCACAGCCGTGGAACGGAGGGAGAGGACGCATCCCCTGCAGTAACCTGGGACCCTGGGCCCTTTCCGTCTGGGGCTGTGGGTGGAGGCACCACCTGCGTCGGCGGCAGCCTGCTCTTCTGCGAGGACACGGCGTGCACTGGGCCCTTTGCACAGCGCATCACCCAGGATGGGTGCGCAGAGCTGGGAGCCCAGGTCTCGCTCCGGAAGACACCTGGGGGAAGGTGTCAGGACTGGCTCGCCCCCCTCACCAGATGGTGGCCTTCCCAGGAGACGGTACCCAGAGCTGGCTGAGGGAACGCCTGGTGAGCGCCCAGCTCAGATTTCTGGGCGTAATGATGAAGGACCAGCAGCAGCTGTTGGAATGAATCAACGCCTCTGAGTTGAAGTGCGAAGCTGCCAAACTGTTGGGTTTTGAATGGAAATGTTTCTCTTGCCTTCTCGCTGCGTGGTTCTCTCGGATTCCCCGGGAGACGGTGAGCTCTGTGGCTGCGCCCCCAGCACCCAGCACGGAGCCTGGATTGTGGAAGGAAGGTCAGAAGGCGGGAGAAATGCATGCTCTGGAATGACTCTGTCTGATTTCAGAAATTATTGGTCTTGCTGATTCCCTGCCCCCAGAGAATGGTTTTCCCTGCGTGAAATTGTAGGAAATGGGAATTTGAAACTTTGCAGATCAGCTCAGGGAGATCAAGCCGATCGAGCAGGTTCTGCGACAACAGATCCCCAGCTGTGGCGACCCCCACGGCTTGAGGACAGACGGACATCCTCTGTCTCCTGCTCTGTTGCAGCCCCTGCCCTCCCAGATCAGCCTTGCTCCCTGCCTGCCCCCTGTGCCGACCTCCATAATGGTTAATACAGATGAAACCGGAGATGGCTCACGCTCGGTCCCCGTCTCTCTTTAGGGATCTCTTGTTTACCTGGCTGTGGCCACAGTGCTAATAAATTTAAAAAGAGCGAGCGCGGTCACCCTCGGAAGAAATAGGAGCTGGCCTCCGTGTGAGTGGGCTTCTGAAATGTTTTGGAAGAGACTAACATCTCTTAAATTAACCATGACATATGTGATGCATTTAAAGTAAGGTTTCCAAGCATATATTTCCATCGGTTTCCTTACATTTTACAACAGGTTAAATGAAAACCTGAGAATCATGGGTTTCTAGGTTTGGGAAGGACTTCAGAATAGGATTTAGCTGTCCACTGGGGTGGTTTAAAAACTTCTTTCTTGTCTCTTGTTCGTTCATTTATTAGTTGATGCATCGACTCGTTCGTGCAGCCATATTCACATGCCAGCTATTTGCCAGGCGTTTTCAACGGAAATGGGAGAGGAAGCCCGAGCTATAAAGGGCATTGCAGATAACAGAGACGCTGCTCTGGCTAGGAGGGTGCGGACAAGAAAGCCTTCTGTCTCTGTCCTTGCCTGTTTCCTTGCTCGCAATATGGCCACTGAAGTGGGTCCAGGGATCCCAAAGTGGGGCGACATTTGTGTGCCACTGATCCTGAGTCAGCAACCGTCTTCTTGGCGACTCTTCCTAGGGAAATCCACACAGAGCCGCGTTCATTCCACGTTCGGGCAGACGAGCTGGTGTGACAGTGTGGGGTCAGCGTCACAGCGAGTATCCGACAGCGGGGCTCCATCCTGTGGTCCGTGAAACCGGTGGGCCCTCTTGGTGGGGTAGGTGGGGTGAGCTTCCAGCTCAGCTCTTCACAGCTCTTTGGTTTTGTCATCCCGTAGCAGTTGACCTATGGCCACTCCAGAGCTTGCCAGAGCCAGAGGAACGCATCTGATGTCCTAGACGGCTTAGTGCTGTGACACTCATGGCACCTGTACTTATTCAGAAGCTTAGAAGAGTGGGGCGCGGGCCCAGGAGAATCTCTCTTCCTTCGTTTATTTATCCACACAATAATTATTTATTTGGTGCTATTGTATGCCAGGCCACTGTACTAGCTACTGGGGCTTTGCAGTGCCTCTGGGGGCTTACCGTGGAGAGGGAAAGGCTGATGTCAACTGAAGGATAATGTAACTGTGTAGCTGTGATGTGTCCTGCCCTGTATCTGTGGGGCTCCCTGGGCGTGTAAGAGGGAGAGTCCTAGGTTAGCGGGGGGGTGGAGATATCTGAGCCCTGATCTTAGGGGTGGGCCTGTGTCTGTGTGTGAGCGAGAGAGGTATCCCAGAGAACAGGTGCAAAGGCCCTGAGGAAGCATGTGAGGACCTCCAAGAGATGCAACATCCCGATACTGCTGAGCAGGGGAACCAGGAGAAACAGCTCCTGAATTAGCCAGCACTTTGAGCGCTCAGAAATCCCCTCCTCCAAGCCGAGGGTGTCTGCCGGGACCACTACTCCCAATTCTAGGCAGTTAATCCTCCTGTTCCTGCACCCCCACGTCACCCTTTACAAACCATGATGTTTGTTGCCCCGTGTTGTAATTGCTCGTGTGTGTTTCTCAGACTGTGAGTTCCCTGAAGGCAGGGGATAGTCCTTGTTGCTCTTTGTGCACACAGTAGGCGCTCAATAAACGTGCATTGGAGGAACAGGGGAGATTTTTATTGAGCACCTACTGTGGACTCAGCACTCTCTCTGCGCACGTGTATGTATCAGGCGACCAAATCGAAAAGCTGAAAGGAGCGTGAGTTTTACAAGCGGGAGGAGATGCCAGCCGATGCAGTTGGAGCTTGAAAGCTTTGGCGCCGTCTGTGCACAGACTGCCGGAGCTCGGGAACCGAGGCTGTCGCCCTGTGTCTCCCCAGACCTGCCGACGCTCAGCCTGCTGGGATGAGCCTCCCCTCCCCCGCCCGCCGCTGCCCGGGGACCGGGACAGGGACGGCCCGCTCCGCTCAGGATGAGAGGTGACAGCGTTGGCTTTCTCCGGCAGCCACCCGTCCCCGGCCAGGGCCTGCCGGCTTGGGTGAGTGGGGGGGCTGGCGTGTCCAGGGGGTGCAGGGCGCCTGCAGCTTCTGCTGGGGAATTTTCTCCCCGTCCTTTGCATCCTGTCATTGTCCTGTGTCTCGTGTCCGGGATGTCTGCGTCCCAGAGCAGGGTTTCAAGCGGTCACGGCAGCTGGCTGTAGAGGTGAGCCGTCCTGATTCTGGACAGGCCCCGGGGTGCGTCCACCCGGGGTCGTTGCAGACGGAATTCTCCGGTTCTCCCTAACGGTCCTTCCGTCCTGCCCCTAACCGTGTCTAGACAGTGTTCTCCGGTTTGGGAAGAAGGACTCTGTTAGCACCGTGGAGCGCGTAAGGAGGAGGAAATATCAAAATCTGTCTGCCTTTCTTTCCTGCAGGCTGCGGAGTGAGTCAGAGCTGGGGGCAGCAGCGTGGGGCCCCGGGAAGGGAAGCAGGAGGCTGGCGTGGAATGAAAAACCTTCTACTTTTAGTCCATCTCGGGGGGGGGGTGGTGCAATTTGGCAGGGAAAGAGAACACTGGTGTGAAGGGCGGGCAGGGTTGGCAAGGAATCGAGAAGAGCGACCTGTCTGGCACTTTTGAAGACCAGAAAGGAATAAGCGTAATTTTGAAAAAGGCGGGGTTTAAAAGGGTGAAGACTTGAGGTCGAGGTTCAGCTGTGTGATGGCAGGCAAGTCGGGCGACCTCTCTGGGCCCTTTCCCTTCATCTCCATGATGGAGATGCTGCTAGTCCCTGCCTTTCGGGGTTGTTGGAGGATTGATGAGAGAGGAGGCTGCTGCCTTGAGAGAGCAGAGCTCATGGCTGGATGAACAAAGGGGCTTATGCCTGAGCCACTAAAAACGGGGCCTGATAAGCATCGTTCCCACGTCGTGGGGTTGTAAGGAGGATGTGATCTATAAAACAGAGGAAGCACTTGGCTTATCTTGAGCCCTCACTCGTGGTAAGCTCTGGCCGGTAGCTGTTAACTCTTCTTGTCGAGACTGTGGAGGCAGCCAGCATAAAATAGGCGGTCAACAGAGGAGAACCCAAAAGCAAACAATAACAGCGGGGGAGTGAAAAATGAAGATGCCTTTTTTTTTTTTAAGGCATCTGGAATGTCAGGGGAGGGGAAAGATAGGGGACAATCTGATGGACGTGAGGGTTGAGGCTGGGGTTCCGAGGCCGATAACCAACTTTGTGACCTGCGGGACCCCAGCTTTGGGTTCCTGTGTGAGCTGGGGCTGGTTACTTACCCTCTCTGTGCTTGGCACCCACCACAGGGATGTAACGAGGATCAGCTCAGAAATGGGAAAATGCCTTAGGGTAACAGGAGTGAGAGGACTCAAGGACTCTCACTGGGGCTTAGGCTGGGCGTGTGTGCTGGGACCTGGGTTCGAATCCTGACTTTGCCTCTTACTGTCTGAGTGACTTCAGGCCGGTGACTTGGCCTCTCTGAGCTGGTTTCCTTATCGGTACAGCAGAGATAATCACTTTTGACCTTAAGGGCTGGCCTTGAGATTCTCCGAGTCAGGAATGCCTCCATGAACCTTGGTGCCTTTTCCGGACCCTTCGATCTGGAAGGAACTTCAGAGACGGCCTTGAGTGCCCTCTCCTTGCCCAGAGCTGAGAGGTGGGAGACTGGCCCAGGCTTGCCCGGTGAAGTCAGCAGAGGGCTATTGTCCAGACCGGGGGCTCCAGGCTCTCGGTCCTGCCCCCTCAACCTCTCTGTTTCCACCCAACACTGACTGAATTTTAAATTGCCTTTTTTTCAGTGGTTGCTTCTCCATTTCTGATTCTCCTCATCCCCATGGACCCACAGCCGTAACCATGGTGACACGGGTCGTCGAGGTCAGCTCCATAGCGTCCTTGACGGGAGTGCCAGGCCTCGGGGACATCGCCAAGGAGGATGCCCTGACACGGACCTACTTCTGCCAGGCCGGGGACGCCCCGGGGGCCCCCTCGGCGCTGCTCCTGGACGGGAAGAGCACCCTCCGCAGCCCGGCCCGCTCGCTCCCCCTGCCCAGACTCGCCCCCAAGCCCTTCTCCAGGGACAAGGCCCCCGACGTGAAGCCCCCCGTTGTTGCGTCCTTGCGGCCCAGCCTGGCCAGGCCGTCTCCTGCCTGTGGGGTCCCCCAGGACGTGGCTGCAAAGGCCACGAGCGAGAGGATGCCCGGCCTGCTGGGGCAGGAGGTGGGCGGCGGCGAGGGCCTGCGGAGGAGCTCGTCTCTGTTCAACAAGCCCACGTTTCTGCGGCCCAGCCCCAGCGCCACGGTTCTCTTGGAAACCACCCAAGCCGGGCCCTCTCTGGGCCCAGGCAGCAGGGACGGGGCTCCGGAGGCCAACACGAGAGTGTCCCAGGAGGCTCCGTCGGGTCCGCGGCCTGAAGTGGCCGCCAAGCCTGCCCTGCCCTCCCGGAAGCCTGGGGGGGCCCTTCCCCGGCCTGGCCCCCTGTCGCAGGACACAAGGCCGGCTGCCACCCAAGAGGAGCCAGGCCCCCCCGAGGCTCTCCCGAAGGCCAGCCGCGTGGAGGCCACGGGGGGCCCTGCCCCGGAGCCCAGGCCTCGCCTGAGGAGAAGGCCGGTGTCGGCCATTTTCATCGACTCCCTTCAGCCTCAGCAGCCAGGCCCGGGGGGAGCAGCTGCGGGGGGCAAGGCGCCCCCCACCCCTCCTGAGAAGTCCTGGGTGAGGAAGCCCAGGCCCCTGTCCGTGGACCTCACCGCCCGCTTCGAGAGCAGAGAGGCCTTGCTGAGGAAGGCGGCCGCCGAGGCCACCGCGGGTCCCGGCGCCCAGCGTCGTGGGCCGGAGGGGTCCGACTCCGAGCCCAGAGTGGATGAGAAGTGTTTGCTCAAAGCAGAGGCGCCCCTTCTTGACCCGGATTCACACTTCCTGGAGGTGGCCAAGAAGATCCAGGAACGGAAGGAGAAGATGCTGTTTAAGCAGGTGGAGATGGGCAGCCTCGGTCCCCCCAGGGGCACGGCCAAGGTCACCCCCACAGAGGACCAGAATCTTGGGGAAGGGAGAGCCAAGCTGGACGGGGACTTGGAGAAGGCTCCCAAGTCCCCTTCCTCCAGGCCGGGGAAAGGCCCAGAATTTGCTGCCGGGGAGGTCCTGGCGCCGGCAGAGTGGACCTCCAGGGGCAGCGTCAGGAAGCGCATCAGCCTGTTCGGGGAGGAGAGCGCCACGGCCTTGGCAGCGGGGTCTGAGCCCCCACGGGCCACTCCTGAGTCCCCATCCACCACCCCAGAGCCGGAGAAAGCAGGTGTGAGCGTCCAGGAACGGATCAAGGGCTGGACGGCCGAGGGCTCCGAGGCCAAGCTGGAGATCAGGAGGAGGGCGTTCCAGGCCCGGCCCCTGTCGGCGGATTTGACCAAACTGTAAGTGGGGACATCCCACGGGCGTCACCCAGCCCCCAAGCTGCCTCGTGTCCCCCCACCGGAGACCCCGCAGGGAAGGAAACCACAGGGAGCCAGGCTCCATGCTGGGCACCTGCCACCCCCTCTCTGGGTTTGCCTGCAGCCCCGAGAGCCAGTGGCCTCAGCTTCTGTTTCTCCGATGAGGAAGCTGAGGAGTAGAGAAGTAACACAGCTCCCCTACGGGTACCTTGTGTGCCAGCCGCAGAGCTGGGATCTTGCTTTCCTCGTCCCTTCTCAGCTTTGCACGTTACAGGGGGAGGTTACATGCCCATTTTGCAGAGGCGGTTGGGCAAGGTGAAGTACCACAAGGAAGTTGGGAGCCCAGTGTCCTTCCAGCTCTGCCTGTCTCCACAGCTGAGCTTTCATTTCCTGAAGTCTGAGGATGCTGCATAGACAGCCTAAACGCCCCTCAGCGGCCCGCAAAATAAAATCAGATGGGTCTTGAGCCTCGGTTCCTTCATCTCCAAAATGGAAATGATGCTGAGACCTTCCTTAAAGGATGAAGGCAGCGAGCTAGAGAGCTGATGTTGGGTTCGCAGTGCCCCTGGGAGCCCTCCCTGCCTCGTAGCTCCAGATGATGTTATTAATCCCATTAGTTCATATGATTTTCTAAGCTTGCCGGATCTCTGATGTCTCTTGCTCCTTTTTTGTCCAACAAGTGGCTGCTCAGCTACCACAGGGAGATGCCACTGGGCGTGTCCACCAGCTCATTAATGACACGCATGCCACTGACACGCTTTGTCAGAAATGGAGCTTCCAGGGGGTGGGACCTCTGGGCAGCCTGCCCTCCTGGCCCTGGGAACCGGGGTGGCCAGCCCAGCCAGAGTTAGCACAGTGGCTCTCAGCGTTCAGAATCACCTGGAAAAATACCGATGCCTGGGCCCCACCTGGAGAGATCCTGATTCAGTTGGTATGGGCACGGCTCACCTTTTGATAGTTTTTAAAAGTTGTCCCAGTGATTCTCATGTGCCGCCAGGCCTGAGAAGCCCGGAGTTCAGACAACAGAGAAGGAGGCCCCGCTGCTGCCGGCGACCTCACACGCCTCCTCTCGCTGCGTCCTCCTGCTGCCTCGAATGCTTCCCATCTGACGGACGGGGAAACTGAGGCTCCGAGTTTAGAAACAGCTCGTGCATGGCCTCACGCCCCCTGGGAGGCAGACCCTGGGCTGCTGGGTCAAGTTTAATCGGTCTAATTCCTCTCCCCTCCCTTTGCTCTGCAGCCCCAGCCCTGAACTGACCTTTAGGCATCTCCTCTAGAGAACGCTTCAGAGATGGTGACATTCTAGCCCCAGAACTCCCCTTTCTCCCTCTTTCCCTTCACAAGTGGGGAAACAGGCCCAGAAAGCGACAGTGACTTGGCCAAGGTCCCCTGGAGAAGCAGAGACAGGCCAGCGCCCCCCACATTCCATGACAGCCCGCTGCCTCCGAGTCCCGTGGTCCGCAGTGGGCTGCTGTTGTGCCCGGGGTTGCTAACAACAACCATTAATGATCCCTTCTGGGGCATCTTCCCTGTTCCTTAAACACCCTCTTGTAGCTATTAGGGCCTTGGGTGGCCTCTTATCTGCCCTACAAAAGACGGTGGGGAGGTGTTAATTATCCCCTTTTTATAGATGAAGAGACAGAGGCTCAGGTGGGGCCACAAGCCTGACCCAGGCTCTTGCACTGGGGAGGCACTAGAGCTGGGACGAGCACCCAGTTCTCTTCACCCAAGCCTGGGGCTCCTGCCACCCTGGCGATGCTGTGTTTAAGGTAGGCTGTCCCCGCCGGGCCCTGCTCGGTTTCGCCACCCGAAAGGAAGTGTCTTTTCTCAAAGCAAATCAGACAGCGTTGCTTTGATGATGTCAATGCTGGCTTCACCCCTTGGCTCCTGAGCGAGGGACCGGGCTGGGCTGGAGGGAGTCACAAATTCTGGCCCCATGAGAGTCACTTGGACCTCTCTCCCAGGTTTTCGAGTCCTGCTGCGAGCACTGAAGTCAGATCCGAACAGTGTGCCGAGCCGGGTGGCGAGCTCTCGAAGGAACGCGGAGAGAAGGTGAGGGGCAGCTGGGTTCGCGCATCTTCTTTTCCACTGGGTGCTTGTTCTGAATGCAGAAAGAGCTGGCCTGATCTTCAAGGCCGGGGAAGAACCAGAAACCTGTCGTGAACCACGAGACATTTCTTTCTTTGATGCTGGGACTTTTAACGTCCCTTCTGGCATGATGGGTGGTGATTTCCTGTTCCTCAGGTTAAATGCTGTTTGCAAATGTAATTGTTGGGTATTTATTTTTTTCTCTGCAGATGGGAGGGGGGACGTGGCTTTCCTATCAAGGAATGCCTGCTTTGTTAAGAAATGAATAAAGAATAAGAAAATGTTCATAGAAACCCCCTCAATTTCCCTCATTGTGGTCCCTGCTCCCTTCCCACCCTGACTCGTCGCCCAGCAGCAGCAGAAGGTCAATGACCAGCAATTAAATTGCTTAAAAAGTGTTTTTCTTGAGTCTGTTTAATAAAACAAAAAAGCTCATGAAATGACTTCTAGGTATAACTGGTTTGTGGTTCATGGTTTCTGCAGAGTTCTAATTTTTTTAAAAAACAGCTTTATTGAGGTCTAATTGACATATAGTAAACTGCACATATTTAAAGTGTGCAGGCTGGTGAGTTTGACACACGTGTACATCTGGAACACTGTCATCCTGGTCACATACTGAACATCTCCGGTCACATAGTTTCTTGTTTGTAATCCCTCCCCCCCCAGGCAACCACTCATCTGCTTTCTGTTACTATAGATTAGTTTGCTTTTCTAGATTTTTATAGAAATGGAACCAGTGCTTTCTTATTTTTTTTGGTCTGTCTTCTTTCTCTCAGATTTTTTGCCTTTTTTTTTTGGTGAGGAAGATTGGCCCCGAGCTAACATCTGTGCCAATCTTCCTCTGTGTTATGTGGGACACCATGATACCATGGCCTGATGAGTGCTAGGTCTACGCCCAGGATCCGAACCTGTGAACCCTGGGGGCCGCTGAAGCAGAGTGCGCAAACTTAACCACTACGCCACCAGGCCGGCCCCAAGAATAATTATTCTGAGATTCATCATGTTGTAGCGTGTATTGATAATTCATTCCTTTTTATTGTCGAGAAGTATTCCATTGTGTGGGTAGAGCACAGTTTGTCCCTCTGCTCCCCTTTGATGGACATTTGGGTTTTTTCCAGTTTGGGGCCATCGCAAATAAACATGCTGTGAACATCCGTGAGCGGGGCTTTCTAGGAACATCTGTTTTCTTTTCTCTTGGGTGAATACCTAGGAGCGGAATGACTCCATCGGACGGTGGGTGTAGGTTTCACTTTTTAAGAAACTTACGCAGTTTTAAACCCCAGAGCGAGGTTTCAGAGCCACTTGTCCCCAGCCCTTCGTAAATTCCCAGCAAAGGTGAGCTGGCTCTGAGCGCCAGGGCCCCACGCCTGGGGTCAGTGGCTTAGCCTGCTTTTGGTCCTAGGGTCTTCTGAATCATTTCTTTGAAAATGGTTGGGAGAGGGTCCAATTTAAGGAAAGCCCCTCACATTCGCTTTAAAATACTGTAGTGGGAACAACAGTGGGAGCAGAAGGAGCTGCGTGAAGCCAGGGGGCAGAACGTTGACTGTCAGCGAATCCGGGGGACGAGTCGAGGTGAATTTATTATTTCATCTGTAATTTTCTATATGTTTGAAAACATACAAAGGATGAAAAGCTAATCCTTGCTGTAAGTATAATGAGAGTTCGTCTCTATAAATAGAGTTTTCTTTTAGTGAATTTTTTTTATTGTGTAAAATACGTATAACAAAATATACCATGTTAACTACTTTTTAAGAATAATAAATGTTTTGTTTTGGTTTTTTTTGAGGAAGATCAGCCCTGAGCTAACTGCTGCCAATTCTCCTCTTTTTGCTGAGGAAGGCTGGCCCTGAGCTAACATCCGTGCCCATCTTCCTCTACTTTATATGTGGGATGCCTACCACAGCATGGCGTGCCAAGCGGTGCCATGTCCGCACCCGGGATCCAAATCGGTGAACCCTGGGCCGCCAAAGTGGAACGTGCGCACTTAACCGCTGTACCCCCAGGCTGGCCCCAATAAATGTATTTTTTAAATTTAAAAAACGAATTTTGTATATACACACACACATAAAAATGCACGCACACAATAACACAAGGAGAAAGTTCTGGAAAGTTCTTCCAGAATACACTCCCCACTGATAACAGTTGCTGTCCGGGAAGGGGGTGGTATTTGAATAGCTGAATGAGGGGACCAAAGGACGTGAGCTTTGTCTGTATTGTTTGGGTTCCTTTCCAATGAGAATGGATTCACGTATTATTTATGCAAAGTTTATGTAATAAAATATAAATAAAATTTTAAAATCAATATGTTTAAAAAATTCTTCAATGGCCTTCCATCATCTAGAGTAGAGCTTAGCAAACTGCAGCCCTGCCAGGATTATAACTATTTTAAAGTGAAAAATTCAGCGGCATTAAGTATATTCCCAGCGTTGTGCCCCTGTCACCACTATCTGGTTCCAGACCCGTTCATCACCCCAGACAGAACCCCCCCCAGTCACTGCCCGTCCTCCACCTCTGGTCCCTGCAACTATGAATCTGCTTTCTGTCTCCATAACTTGCCTATTCTGGATAGTCCATATAAATGGAATCATGAAACACGTCACCTTTTGTGTCTGGCTTCTTTCCCTTGGTATGATGTTTTTGCGGTCCGTCCATATTGTAGTGTGTCAGTGCTTCGTTCCTCCTTATGGCCGGGTAATATCCGTTGTGTGGATGGACCCCATTGTGTTTATCCATTCGTCAGCTGATGGACTTGTGGGTTGTTTCCACCTTTTGTCTGTTGTGAATAGAACTACTATGAACATTCGTGTATGAGTTTTTGCTTGTATTCCTGGGTATATACCCAGGAATGGAGTTGGTAGGTCTTATGGTTAATTCTGTGTTTAATTGCTTTTTTTTTTTTTGAGGAAGATTAGCCCTGAGCTGCTAACATATGCCGCCAATCCTCCTCTCCTTTTTTTTTTTTTTTTTTTTTTTGCTGAGGAAGACTGGCCCTGAGCTAATCTCCATGCCCATCTTCCTCTACTTTATACGTGGGATGCCTGTCACAGCATGGTGTGCCAAGTGGTGCAACGTCCGCACCCGGGATCCGAGCCGGTGAACCCTGGGCCTCCAAAGCGGAACATGTCCACTTAACCGCTGTGCCACCTGCCTGGCCCCTATGTTTAACTTCTTGAAGTAGATGTATGTCTAACAGAAAGAAACATTCTTGAAAAGTTACCAAGTAATACACGCATATTATAAGCATGGAACAGAACTGAAGTGTATACGATTAAAAGACGCTGTTGTCACCTCACGCCTTCTTCCCCCCTCACTCCCCACCTCTCGTACTCACAGTGCGATTTCTATCTTTCTCCACCGTTTACCTACCTGTACACATACACACACGGTTTTTTAAGATGGTATTGTATTATAAATACACTGTTCTGCAGTCTGCTTTTCTCCCAACAACACAGCAATATTCTGTGTGTTCCTAGGTGTTGCGACACAAGGACCCACCGCCTTCTGTGGGTCCAGGTGCCTGGGTGATATCCCGCCGTTTGGATTTATCAGAGCGTACTTAGCCAGTGCCCTTCAGATGGGCACGCAGGGTGTTTCTGTGGCTGTGTGCTTTCACAGGCAGTGCTGTCTGAACGTTCTTGTTCACGTTGACTTGTGCACGTGGGCAAAGAGAGAGTCCTGGGAGGAAATGGGCCAGATGGAAGGAAATGAGTATTTTATTTATTTTTTGCTGAGGAAGACTGGCCCTGAGCTACCATCTGTTGCCAATCCTCCTCTTTTTGCTTGAGGAAATTGTTGCTGAGCTAACAGCTGTGCCGGTCTTCCTCCATTTTGTACGTGGGATGCTGCCACAGCATGGCTTGATGAGCAGCGCTAGGTCCATGCCTGGGATCCGAACCTGCAAACCCCAGGCCGCCAAAGCGGAGCATATGAACTTAACCACTGTGCCCCCGGGCCAGGCCCAGAAATGAGTATTTTACAATCTTGACAGGTATACTGAATCGCCAGAAGTCATAGCATTTCTGTTCCCTCCCGCAGTCTCCTAGGGTGTTCATTGCCCCCATCCTCACCCACGCCGGGTGTGTTCAGTCTTTACATTTCTCTGGTATCTCACTCTTGTGGTTTTCAAAGCAGCCATTTCAGTCACTCAACTCTTCCTTTCCCTTTTGAGTCCTTTAACTAAAGTGGGATTATTTCTTCTTTTTTTCAGCACAAGGAAGGGCCTGGTTTGGACAGACCCTTGGTCCTGAAAAGCCCCCGGAAGCCCAGGACGCCACGGGAGGGGTCCAGGCAGACGGAGCAGAAAGACAGCTCCAACCACGTGCCCGACGACTGTCGAGGGGGACGCTCGGTAGGGCGCCGGAGCTCCTCTGACAGCACTCCGGAGGACGATGGAAGCTTCCAGACGGTGTGGGCCACCGTGTTTGAGCATCACGTGGAGAGGCACACGGTGGCCGACCAGTCAGGACGCTGTCCCGTGGCCACGCCCTTTGGTGACGTGCCCGATGCCCGCGGCTCGGGGCTCAGACCCAGGCCTGAGAGAGGCTCGTGGCTGGGGACAGACCCGCCTGAAAAGACAAACCTCAAGAAGGATAACTCCAGGCGGTTTGACAGTCCCGACATGGAGAAGCTGGGACAGACCGCCCTCTCCAATGGGGAGCCTAAATCGTGTCACACGGTGCTCCCGGAAAAATACCCTTTGGGTGAAAACCGCTATGAGATCCCCTTCCGGAGGCGCTCAGAAAACCCGCCCGCCTCCCAGAGAGTGGAGCCCAAGTATGACATTGTGCACACAGTGGGGGCACGTGCGCACAGTGAGGCCATCTCCACGGCGCCCGAGGGAAAAGCCGTGACGCTCCGAAGTGGCAGGTCTCGGCTCTCGCTGACGGGGAGGCAGCTGTCCCCTGAGGTGGCCCCCGCCGACCCAGAGTGCAGGCTGGACGGGCAAGCGGGGTCCGTCCACAGGGCCAGTTTGATCTGGGAAGCTCGAGGGGCACATGAGGTTGGTGGGTCCAGGCCTGACTTCCGGGAGCCAAAGGACACGTTTGGGGGCAATTGCCTGTCGCCCAAGTGGACAGGAGGGCTGAGCATGAACTGGCATAAAGCCACAGTGGTGGTCAGTGGAGAGAAAGGCTCAGAAGTGAGCCCCGAGGTCGCCAGTCAGTACCCGGCCAGGCCCTGTGGCCCCGAGGCCACCTCTGGGAGGGCCGTCCAGGCTGCCGTCTGGGAGGCCCAGCACCAGGGCCCCGAAGGAGCTGGAAACAAGCCGGGAGGTTGCATTGCAGCAGGAGAAAGGGGTACCCCCCGGGGATGGCCTCTGGACGCTCCTTCCAGGGTGAAGGACGAGCCCTCTGACTTCCGAGTACGGCCACATCCAGATGTCCAGAAAGGGCCCCCCGTGGTGGCTGCCAGTGAGGGCGAACCGAGGCCAGCGGCCCCGGCGCCAGAGCCCGAAGCCAGGATGCGGAAGGCGGGGGCCACGGACCAGAGATTCGAGCGGTGGAGGCGGAGGACTCTGCCCCCCGACGTGAAGTTTGATGAATTCAGCTTCCTCGCCCCAGAACACTCTCAGAAGGTGGAGCAGAGACGCACAGATTATTTGAGCCCCTCCGCTGGTGCCTTAAGAAAACCCCAGCTCTCCCACAATAGGACTGAGTCCCGGGAGGGGGGCCCAGGCGTTTCACAGGACCGGCCTCTCTTGGCCGTGAAGCAGGGGTCACCGGTGGAACCCAAGGCCACGTTTTTTGCAGTCACCTATCAGATTCCTGATACTCAAAAAGCAAAGAGTGTTGTTAAGCCAGGGCCTGAATACTTGACGGAACATTCTAGAAAAATAACTCCGCCTCCATCACCGCACCCTTTAACGTTGACTTTGGGTTCTCTTGACCACGAAGAGCCACTGGAGACGGCCGCTGGTAAAAACTGGGGTAAGGGCAGAGAGCGTGACAACGCGGGCTTTTCAAAAACCCTGAAGCCAACAGACCATCCGTCGTCTCTTGGGGACAGGATTCTGGATTCTTCTAGTGAAAGGATCATCGGTGCTGATGCTTTACGGATTTATCGGGGACCAGAAAATGGCACTGGTGTTCAGAACGACTGGAAGGACAACGAGAACGAGACGTCCACCAGTATTGCTCCCAAAACGACCCCCGCTTTCAAAAGTCGTCCGAAGGCCGGCGACCTCCTGGTCAGAAGGAAGACCGAGGTGATCAGCGAGACGTTTCCAGGTAAAATCAAAGACGGCTACAGGTCAAGCGTTCTCGACATTGACGCCCTGATGGCGGAGTACAAGAAGCCGGGGGCTCAGGGGTCCCTGGAGGGTCCGTCCAGCAGCTCGTCTCTGGAGAGGCCGGGCCAGCAAGGCGTGGGGGACCCGAGAAGATGGAGCCTGAGGGAGGGGCCCAGAGCCGAGGGTCTCCGCAAACACGCTGGTTCTGCCGAAACAAACCACATTTCCGCTCCTGGCTCTGGCGAGCAGCCGGCAGAGACCCCAGGGCCAGCCACGAACCCCAAATTCAGCCCCCCTCTCTGGGCTCTGCCGCAGTCAGCTCCTTCTGAAAAATCTCCAGGAGCCTCTTCTGGCCCAGGGGGTCCCAGGAAGAGAGTCTCAGGAATCGCTGAGGATGAAAAAAAGGCTTTTGCAAATAAGTCTCACGGGGCGAAGGGTCAGAATTTCCCGGCCGAGGCAAAGCCCGCGGCCTGGGAGGAGCCGGGCAGTGGCGCCACCGTGTCGCCCAGATCATTCCCCGCCGACCAGAAGAAAGAGACCCCGAGGAAAGCCATCGGGAGGGGAGAGGAGGGCAGTGTTGCCCAGTGGGGTGACCACCCCCCAGACTGTGGAAGGTTACCACCGGACGTCAAGAGGGTCTGTTCGGAGAAGGGCCCCCCTGTCAGAGTCCGGGAGGGCCTGTCCATCATGCAGGAAGCCAGAGAGAGGAGGTGGGAGCAGCCCAAAGGGAGGGCCAGCCTCCTGGAGGAGAGTTCAGAGGCCAAGGAGACTCAAGTGGGGCCCCGTCGGCGGGAGTCGGGGACTCGAGACAGTCAAAAGGTGAGTATGAAGGGCGTTTCAGTTTTGTCAAACGTTGGTTGGACATGTAAGCTGGGGGTCTCAAACTCAGAACCTATCGGAATGGAAATGAGTGGAGTCAGGCTGGGGGCAAGACCCTAGGGAGTGGTGGGGATTGTGGCAAATGGTGAGCTCGTGCCTCATGGAAAGGGAGCAACTGCTGCTCAGGTCTGGCTGGTTCTTGACAAGTGAGATTGGGGGTCCTGAGATGGCAGACCTGATTTATCAAGAGAATCTGGGAGATCCAGATTTTTATGTGTGTTCCCCCCATTATGAAATGAGGAAACGTCTTAAAAAATGCTGTGTAGTCCAAACAGAACTTGTCGTCTGGGTCTCTGCAGGCCCGTGGGCCACCACTTTGAAATGATGACAGTGATGGGGAACATTATTGAGCGCCTGCTGTATTCCAGCGTGTCATGTCTAGTTCATTACTGTGTCCTTGGTGTCTAGCATCACGCTTGACATATTGGGAACTTTCACAGAATGTTTGTTGACTGAATGAATGAGTGATCTTCTATGAGCCTCATGACAACCCCGCAGAAGAGGGATGGTCAGGGTTTGGGTTTCCACAGAAGCAGACCTCCCCTGTGGGGAGTCGTTTTAGGAGGTGATCTCTGGAAGAACTGGTAGGGGGTGGGGAGGTGACAAAGTGCCCCGGAGGCGCGTTCTCCCTGGAGACCTCTGGGAAGCAGCCTAGATCCTCTCTGAGTTGTCCTGTCCAAGGGCCAAGGAACCCGGAGTATTTGTCTTCCAGTTTCCTTCTGTCCTTGCCTGCGGCTGTATCTGGGGCCATTAACATTTAGACTTCTCTAACCTGGCTGGTGCCACGCTCAGTGGGGGACAGAGAAGTCCTCACACAGCAGGACGCTGTTGCCATTGGCACTCCCTGAGCGTCGGGCAGGGCGCCCACAACGTCTGCTGTGGGTACAATCATCTCGTAAACGGATGGAAAAAATGGAGGCTCAGAGAGGTTAAGTAACTTATCCCAGGTCACACAGCACCAAGTGGCCAAGCTAGTGTTTGCACTCAGGTCTGGCCTGATACCCAAGCTTTCAAGCGGGCCACTTGGTGGCCGCTGAGGAACCATGAAGGTGGGGAAGAAATCTGAGGCATGGAGCCCACCCCGGGGAGCATTTGATCTCTGTGGCGAGATAGGACACAGTGATGCACGGCCAGGAAATGATATGGTGCAGAGGGAGGGGCTGGAGAAGAGGCCTGGGAAGGCATCCTAGAGGAGGCGCTGGCCTGAGCCCACCTTTGAAGGATGGATATGAATTTGGACGGACCGATGAGGGGAGAGGAGGGGAGGGCACAGCATGCACAGAGGTGGGAAAGGAAGGGCGTGTTCGGGGGGCAGTGTGGAAACTGACTGAGTGCCTCCGCCCCATCCAGCCTAGAAAGGGACGCGGTGGAAATTAAGCAGGATGACACCAGTTGGGATCATGAATGAAGGTTTGTCCGGGGTTACGGTGGTGGGTGGTGGGGTCGGGCTTTGAACCCACGACTTCTCAGGGAACCCAGGATCCCGAGCTGCCACGTTCGAATCTCTGCTCCGCCCTTACCAGCTGTGTGCCTCAGTTTCTCTGAGCCTCAGTTTCTCCCTGGCATGAACGAGGATTCCTGCCTGGAAGCACAGTTACTGGGCTGATGGAGACGCAGCGCCCCGTGGGGGCCGGGCACCGGGGGTGGTGGCGAGCGCAGGCTGCCCGCGGGCTCTGCAGATGCCCGGCCGTTATTGTGGGAATGGGGGAGAGGGGCAGAGGCCGCGGAAATGTGACACTCGGTCTGTCTGCCAGCACCTCGCTCCGGGGCCCGCAAGCAGCGGGAGAGTGGGGCGTGGGGAGGGCCCCCAGCCCAGCCTTGGACGCCCGCCTGGGGCACAGGCCCCAGGAGTGCTCATTGTCAGGGGATCCGTTTTCTCGCCAAGGACTTGGGAGGCCGTGGGGCAGCCCCTTGTTTTCCCCCTCACCTGCCCAAAGATCTTTGCTTCTTGGTCTTGAAAATAAATACATAAAAGCAGCACAAAGTCCAAAAAGTTGGTTGTTGTAAATTCACGCCTTCCAAGAGCGTATAATGGGTACTTTAAAAGTTCCCCAGTTGCAGCCACTGTTGCTGATGTCCTTGGAGCTCTCCTGCACGGCAGAGTTGCTTATTGGTCATGTATATATTTATTTCTAATTGTTCTATTTTCCTGATTACAAAAGTAGTGAGGGCTTGTGTAAAATTTAAAATAGTATAGAAACGTGGTTGAGAAAGAAAATCTCCCCCAGATGATGAGTGATGAGTCCGGGGCACAAACTGGGGCACACCCCTCAAGGCCCATTAGTGGTTCTCAGCCGTGGGCAGTCTTGCCCCAGGGCACCTTTGGGAAAGTTTGAGCCATTTTTTTGCTGTCACAGTTGGAGAAGAGTTTGCTCCTGGCGTCTAGTGGGTAGAAGTCAGGGATGCTGCTCAGCATCCCCCGTGCACAGAATCATCCTGCCCCAAAGGGACATAGTTCCAAGGCCAAAAAACGCTAGTCCAGATACAGATATAGGTAACACATACCATTTTATGGAAACATAACAACATTTTACAGAAAATCTTACAACTTGCTTTTTTTTTTTTTTTGCGCTGAGGAAGATTGTCCCTGAGCTAACATCTGTGCCAGTCTTCCTCTATTTTGTAATGTGGGATGCTGCCACAGCATGGCTACGAACGAGTGGTGTAGGTCCGTGCCCGGGAACTGAACCCGCAAACCCAGACCACTGAAGCGGAGCACACCAAACTTAACCACTATGCCACGGGGCCAGCCCCACAGCTTGCCTTCTTTTTACTTAACAGTATAGGTGCATACATGATCACCTTAGTATTTTTAATGGCTACAAAGTATTTTATGGTATCACTGAGTCAAACTCTTGCCCAGACTTGCACTGATGGATGTTTGCGTTGGTTTGGGTTTTTGTGTTAGAAACAGGACTCAGGGAGCATCTCGATGGACGTCTTCGCTCCTTTGGGTGAGGACTCCCTGATTCACAGCCACTTCTGCGCGTGGACCCCGCGTGGCTGTGATTGTAGTTAAAGCGACCCCTCCCTCCCTCCCCTCTCTCTCTCTGTTTCTCTCCCCATCTCTTGCTTTCTCTTTCTTTTTCACTTAACATTCATCGAAACTTTGTCCCACGCCCAATCCTTGTACTTCATTTAATCCAATTATTTATTTTTGTTTCAAAAGAAAGAATATTTTTACGAGGCTCCAAAAATACATAAAGTTTGGAATAAAACCTCCCCTACCCCTCTCGTTTGCCAGCCTCACCATCCTCCCCGCTCAGGAATCACTTATACTCTTTTTTGTCCGAATCCTTTTAGAGTTTCTTTCTGAAAATACAAGCAAATGTGAATACATAGTCTTGTTTTTGCCTCCTCTTTCCATAAAAGAGCGCGTTCTGTACGAGTGGTTGAAACTTTGGTTGCTGGCGGAGTAACGCAGGGAACCCTAAAGGATGGCAATGCGGGGGCCTCACCCCGGGCAGTTAGGTTGGAATCTCGGGGTGGGGTCTGCCTCGTTAGCTTTAAAAGCTCCCCTGGGGATTCTCGGGTTGAGAGTCTCTGCCGAACCCACAGATCTGCCACGTGCCTTGTTTCCTTATAGTGGATTCAGCCCCAGAGAGCATCTTCCTTCCTTTTAACAGTAGGGATGAATGGTATTTCCGATCCTTCGGTATTTACAAACCACTTAGTTGTCATTCTGCGCATGCGCAGGTGCATCCGTGGGTCCCGAAAAGCAGTTGCCTACGGGCCGAAGGTGGTTGTAATTCTGCAGGATTGCGTCACAGGGCCCTGCAGCGGGGCTGTACCTGTTTGCATCCTCACCTGCAAGGGCGGCGGCCCGTTCCCCATCGGCCTTGCCAGCTAGGTGTGTTGTTGGACTTCTGGGCCTGGCCCCTGGTCAGTGCCCCTCGCCTTGCCCCGTGCGTGAGGCCATTTGTATTTCCTTCCCGGAACCGCTCGCTTATGTGCCGCCGGCTCTTTTTTGGAAGGTCGGCCCTTTTCGTGTTGAGTTCTCAGAGTTCTTTATCAGGAAGATGGACCCTCTGTACTTTCAAGATCTGATTTCTCCCAGGAAACTGCCCTGGACTGCAAACTGGGCAGACCTGGGATCAGGCCCTAGCTTTGTGACTTACTAGCTGTGTGACTCTGGACACCTTGCCAGACCTCTCTGAGCCTCAGTTTCCTCATCTGTGAAATGGGAATCCTGCGTGCTTCACAGACTTATTGGAGATTTATCATGAAATAACAGATGGTCAAGCCCCTGGTCTGGGGCCTGGTGCGAAGGAGGTTTGAGGAAATCAGATGCCCTTGGGGGTTGACCTTCATCCGTCCATTCATTGACTACACTGATAAATGGACTAACCCCGTCCGGGCCCTGTTCTAGGCAGCGGGGCTGCTGGGAGGGCCCAGCCCACTTATCAGGCCGTGCAGATCAATACGACAGTCACTAGCCGAGTGTGGTTTTTTAAAATTTGCATTAGTTAAAATTAAACAAGATTAGATATTCCCGCCCTCAGGAGCACTGGCCACATTCAGGTGCTCAAGAACCACAGGTGGCCGTGGCGACTGTATTGGACAGCCCAGATGGAGAGCATCTCCATCATCACAGAACGTTCTAGAGGACAGCACCAATCTGGAGGCAGAGAGACCTCATGTGAGTGAGTGGGATCATTTAGAGATTGGCGAGTCCTGGAGAGACAGAAAACCAAGAGTGTGACGGAGGTTACTCGAAGCGGGTGGGGGGGGGGTCTTATGGGAAGGGCCTGAATGTTGCCATCTGAGTGATGGAGGGACCCAGCCAGGCCCACATCTGTGGGGAGGACACAGGAGCAGAAAGGGAAGATGCCCCAGGCTGGGAGGAGCTGGTCCTGTGGAGGCTAGAGGGACCCCAGTGGGCGCAGGGGGCGCTGGCCGCAGCTGCGATGGAGAGGTGGGCAGGGCCCGGAACATAAGGGGGCCAGCGAAGGCTTCTGGGCACGGCTGCCTCACCCTGAGTGCTAGGGAGACCCCGGCTGCTCTGAGCGGGGGATGGTGGAGGACGGAGGCCAGCGACGGGCCGGCCATGGTCCTCAGACAAGAGGCGACAGGGCTTACACTGGGCTGGTGAGCATGGGGGGGTTCATAGCATTTTTTTTTTTTTGGTAACAGCTTTATTGAGATAGAATTCATGTCCCATACAGTTGACCCATTGAAAGTGTACTATTCGATGGCTTTTAGTGTATTCACAGAGTTGTGCAGCTGTCATCACACTCGATTTCAGAATAACTTTATCACGCCCCAGAAAACCCTGCGCCCGTGGAGCACTCACTCTCCATTTCCCCAGTACTCTCCCATCCTGTGCAACCGCTAATCTGCTTTCTGTCTCTGGATTTGCCTATTCTGGACATTTCATATCAGTGGAATCACAACACGTGGTCCTTTGTCACTGTTTTCTTTTTTTTTTTGAGGAAGATTAGCCCTGACCTAACATCTGCCACCAATCCTCCTCTTTTTTGCTGAGGAAGACTGGCCCTGAGCTAATATCCATGCCCATCTTCCTCTACTTTATATGTGGGACGCTTACCACAGCATGGCTTGACAAGCGGTGCCATGTCCGCACCTGGGATCCAAACCGGTGAACTCCGGGCCGCCAAAGCGGACCGTGTGAACTTAACTGCTGCACCACCGGGCCGGCCCCATGACTGCCTTCTTTAACTTAGCATGTTTTCAAGGTTCACCCGTGTTGTCACGTGTGTCAGAATTACATTCATGGACCAGTTTTTGTGTGGTCGTATGTTTTCATCCCTCTGTGGGGACGCCTAGGCGTGGCAGTGCTGGCGCAGACGGGAAGTCTAGCTTTCACCTTTAGGAACTGCCAGACTGTTTTCCGAAGTGACAGCACCCTTTTCCATTCCCACCGGTGGTGTTAAGCCTTCTGTTCCCCTACGTCCTGGCCGTGGTCACCATCTGTCTTTCTGATGGCAGCCATCCTGTGGGTGTGAAATGGTGCCTCCTTGTGGTTCTGATTTGCATTTCCTGTTGAACATCTTTTCAGGTACTTATTGGCCATTTGCATACCTTCTTTGGAGTAACGTCTATGCAGATCCTTTGTCCGTTTTTTCATTGGGTTATTCGTGTTTTTATTATTGAGCTGTAATCATTCTTTATATGTTCCCGTTACAAGTCCCATATCAGACATAAAATTTGCAGAAATTTCCTCCCATTCGGTGGGCTGTCTTTTCCCTTTCTTAATGGTTCCCTTTGAGGCATGAAAGCTTTTCATTTTGATCAAGTCCAATTCGGTTTTCTTTTGTTGCTTGTGCTTTTAATGCCTCATCTAAGAAACCCTTGCCTCATCCACGGTCATGAAGATTTCCGCCTGTATTTTCTTCTAAGAGTTTTCCAGCTTTAGCTCTGACCTTTAGGTCTCTGATCTATTTTGAGTTGATTTTGGTCTGTGATGTGAGGTTCGCAGCATGTTTCAAAGGCCGAGCCTCCGCCTTGCTGGTAGGATGGAGAGGAGGAGGAGGATGAAGAGCCCCCTGAAGGTGCCGGTTGCCCAGCTGGGCAGTGGGCAAGGGGCAGGGGCAGTCTTTTGCGGGGGAGTAATCGAGAGGCCTGCTGTGGGCATTTGAAGTCTGAGATGAGCCTGAGCTGTGCAGAGAGATGCTGAGTGGGAGTGGTGTGGGATCCACAAGGCCGGAGCCCCGACATGGACAGACAGATTCGGGAGTCGTCTGTGCACACGTGGGATTCATTAAAAGCTACGGGGCATCGTGAGAGATCCCCCAGGAGGTGATGTCACAGGAGAAGAGAAGGCTCTGGGCTGGCCCGGGGCGCACCTGCCTTCAGCCATCCCTCTGAGACGCGGGGAGGCTGAGAAGGAACAGCCAGGGAGGTTGCAGGAGAACCAGAGGCATCAAAAAAAGAGGCTGTGGAGCAAAGGGTCGGGAATCCAGCCCTGCTCGTCGCTCATGCTGTGGTTCTTAAGCAGATGCCTCCCCTCTCTGGGTCTTCATTTCCTTGTCTGTGTGGGGAGAGTGTGAGGCGTGTAAAGTCCACATTCTGGAGTCCTGTATTTACCGGCCTGCGACTGCATCCCCTGTGTATAACTGAGTGGGAAAAAACGATGAGGTTCAGACCAGCATCTCTGGTTCCCTTCTATTCACGTACCGTTTCCCTATATGGGAATATATGTATTTCCCTACATATCCATGCACGTGTATTGGGATGCATGGAGAGATCTCTGAAATGAAGCCACCAAGAGCCTCGAGTGGCGGTAATGAGGCTGGGAGACTTACAGAGGGCTCCCCACATGTCAGGCACGGCGCGGGGGAGGGACCAGGGGAGCAAGCCAGGCCCTCAGGACCCGTGCACGTCTGCCCCCTGCTGGCAGCACCGTGTCACACACTTTCCATGGGCTGGTCCTCATTTGGTTCTCCCATGAACCCAGAACCTGAGTACTGTTATTATGGGTCTTTTCCCACATGGCCAAGGCTCAGAGAGGTCAAGGCACTCATCTGAGGTCACACAGTTATTTAAGTGGCCGAGGCTGGGCTGAACTCGGTCCTGATCCTATAAATTACCTCTCATCGCTGGGGTGGACCGCTGTGTGCAGGGGGAGGTTCCGGCCCTTTCATCTTCTTCTTTGTCCTTGTTGTTACAGAGTGGACTCTCTCAGTGCCATATCTTCTTCCTGTAAATGGGGAGGCCCCAGTCACCCCCTTTTCTTGGGTTCTGTGCCTCAGGTGCCGCCACGGGACCAGGGAAGGGAGGAGGCCCTGCAGGACAATGAGCGGGCTCTGCAGCCGGTGTCCCCTGCGGCCTCGGGCCCCCAGAGAAGCCACAGCTTCTGCAAGGACAAGAAGAGCGGGCCCTTCATGGTGAGTGATGCGCGGCCGGAGTGGAACTCGCAGGCCGTGCTGGTCGTCGGGCAGCCTTGGGAATGCGGCCGAGCTGAGAGGGCGGCTGGCCCAGGGGCCGGAGGGCCGAGGATGGGCAGGCGCCTGTCTGGAACCGGGCGCTGTCTGCCTGGCTGTGTGGTGGTTCGGGACGTGGAGGGCGTTTGGTGGCTCTGCCGGGGAGCCTTGCCTCCTCTCGGGTTCCCGGACCCCAGCTGCCCGACACCGAGCAGCGAAGAGCACGTGTCCCAGGGTCTGGAAGTCCTGGGTTCGAATCCCACTACCGCCTCCTCTCAGCCTCCTTGAGCCATTTACTTGGTTTCTCTGCACTCAAGTCTCTTCACCTGGAAAGCGGGATCAGGACTCCTCTTTCCTTCGCGCCCTTGGGAGGATGGAGTGAGATCATGCGTAGGGCCCAGCACATAGTGGTTTGGACAGTGACCGAGAGTTGTGGGGACCCCAGGAGGGCGGGCACTGTTCAGCTGGAAGGGGCCGGATGGCCTGGTTCAAATCCCAGCTCTGCGTGCGCTCAGGCGTCTGGCCTCAGTTTCCTCGTCTGTAAATGGGGATAATGACAGTATCTACTTCTCAGGGCCGATGTGGGGCCCGGATGAGATGATGCAGGAAGTGCTTGGCCTGGTCCCGGGTCCACAGCAAACTCCTTAATAAGCGCCATCATCACCATTCTTATTATCATCCTTGTTTCCGCGTCTCCATTTGGCTGTCACATAGTTGTGACTCCTTGGGACCAGCACTTCCTCTCAGCCTGTTTCCTCTCTTGTGGGAGGAGGTGGGTGAGTGAGGCACAGCCCCTCGGGGAAACCACCTCCCCCGGACCCTCAGTGTCCCCAGGTGGGTTCCAGGACTGCGCCACTTCCGATTTTTTTTTTTTTTTTGGGAATTTCTTTTTTGAACTTGAGTCCGTGATCCTTGGAGATCTGCTGAGTTCTGCACTTGCTGATGAAGTCCCTTCAGGGCTCCAGGCTCCACGTCGGGGCATCTGAGGTAGGTGTGTCTTTAACGAGGTGACACTGGTTCTGTTCATAAGTTCCTCTGTGATCGCACAGCCCCGTGCATTTCAGGGACCTTGGTGCTTCATCTCACGTCTTGGGGACACAGGATTCTGCACTGAGATCCTAGGTCCGTCCCTCTAGCTTGATGGCCACGAGCAAGAAAATTCACTCCCTGAACCTCGGTATCTTCTTCTGTAAAACAAACGAAGAAGACGCCCCTGGCAGGATTTGTGCTGGTACCTGGTGGGAGAGTGGCGACAGCAGAGTAGAAATTGTAGGGCTGGGGGCAACCACAGAGAAGGGACTCAGACCCCGGCAGGCGTCTGCCCAGCAGCCCAGGGAGCCTCCCCGAGCGCTCAGAGCTCAGCCACAGACTTGCACACATTCGAGACCTGCCTCGTTTTTTGTTAACCGTTCCTGTCCAAGGATTTCTTTCTTGCCCTTGTCTCCATTCCCTCTCGGGTGGCACCGACTCAGCTTATCTGATTGTACTTGAACTTCTGTGTGTGTGCGAGAAGACAAAGGTTATGGGGAGAAGGCATTGAAGACCCGTCTTTTTCTAGTCGGCTTGGCGCATCCTCCCTGGCCGGCCACTCCTCCTCTTCCACCCGCCGTCACTGAGGAGCCTCTGTGCCTGGCGTGCTCGCGCAGCTCCCCGTGGCCCCCTCCTTCTGGTCCCCAAGGCCCCTGCCCCATTGCTGGGTGCTTGATGTCCTCTCCTCCGGAGGCGGATGGTGGGGGGTGCTTAGTCTGAACCGGACAGGGCTGGGGGCGTCAGACCCCATCTCTGCTTTCAGGACGCACGCCTCTGGTTCTGGGGAGCGGCCGCCCCGGGGTGGGGATGGCGGGTGGTGGTGGGGTTCAGCTCTCTTCTTTTCTAGAAGCCTGACTCGGGGGACCTAACCCTGGGCTCTTAGGTGAAAGAAGTGGGTTCTGGTTCCAGCTCGGCCGCAGTGCGACCTTGGTCAGGTGGCTGGGTGGACCTCACGAAGCTCGGCTTGTCCTTCTGTGTGATGAGGGTGGGTCTCTGTGGCCTCCAGAGCGTTTCTCCTTCTCTCCCGCCTGGCTTCTCCTCCCTTCTCCCCGACTTCCTTCCTTCCTCATCCTCCCCCACCTCTCTCCCCCTTCCTCTCCGCTCCTTTTTCCCTCACCTAGTATAGATGGAGAAACTGAGGCCCAGAGAGAGGGCCTGACTGAGCCAGGGTGACCCTCCAGGTGGGGATGGGGTCCTGAGCCCTGGCCCCTGCCGGCCGCCCCTCCTGTTGGCAGTTGGTCAGCCCTGCACGTTGTCCTCCGGGAGGTGTCTGGGGGCCACAGACACACGTCTGCTGTTCCTCCCGTCGCCATTCTGACTCAGGCCTTCGTGCTGCTGGCTTCCAGTGTCGGTGCAGGTTCGTCTCTGTGTTTTGAGGCTGTGTCTCAGGCCTTGTCAGTCCCCACTCCGCCCCCGTGTTAGGGAGTACGAATCCCATTTTGCCCAGGAGGAAACTGAGGCTCAGAGAGGTGAAGCCGCCTGCTCGAGGCCACACAGTTCATGAGTGGTGGGGCTGGAATGGAAATCAGGCCTTGCCACCTCCAGCCTTGGACCTGGGCCCTTTCTGCTGTGGGATGGGGCTCTCCACCTGTCCCCAGCCCCTCCAGCTCCTTTCTCCCCGTGGGCCTGCAGAGCTCGGGGCATTAGCTGCACGAGGAACGAGATGCCCTGAGCCCGGGGCTGAGAGGGCGATATTAGGTCCGGCCACCCTGCACCACTTAGCAGAGGCTGTGAGCCGTGAGTTCCACCCCGGCCTCTCCCTCCTCCTCTGCAAAATGGGCCTCCCAGTAACCATAACACTGATGCTGTGAGCTGCAGGGTTATCCCCATTCTACAGATGGGGAAACTGAGGCTCCGAGCCATTAAGCGCCTCTCCCAAGGTCTGAGTCTGGGGTCCAGACTCCTCTGCATCGGCTGGGTTTCCCACCACCCTGCTTGGTGATGGGGGGAGGACGGAGCTGAAACGAGATGATGCTGAGAAAGCGTTTGGCGTTGGCACCGTGCCCGGTGAGGTGACTGCCCCATAGCTGGGACCTGCTGCCGCACTGTTGATGGTTATTTCCCGTCAGGTGAGTCTTTTTCATACGTCCTCTTGAAGAGCCACTGATGGGACAGGAAATTGTCCCCCGTCTTAGGAGTGTGTGTGCAGCTGAGGAACCCGAGGCCCGCTGTGGGGAGGCGTCTGGTCGAGGGCCCCGTAGCAGCTGGGCAGAGCCGGGGCTGGAATTCCGCCTCTCTGACTCCCTGGCTGGTGCTCGCTGCACGGCCCCCTCCCTCCCTCCCTCCTGTCTGGAGTGCCCTTGGGGCCACAGGGCAAGTCTGAGCCCTGGGCTGGGCCTCCTCCCTCCCCCGCCTGGGGGTGGGCACCCCCTCCTTTCCTGCACTCACGCAGCCATCATAAAACACGGTGAGTCAGCCGTGGACCGTGGCCTTGGGCCACAGTTCACCCCGGGGCCCCTCCCATGACCATGAAGGTGCAGATTCACCAGCCATGGGGGTCCCTGCGATGGGGCAGGGGGCGGGCCTCTGGTAACCTCGAGAATGTTCTGCCAAAGCCGTAGGTTAGCATTTGCTGGCTCCTTCAGGGATGACTTCTTTCCTTTGTGGGCCTACTGTGCGCCAGGCCCTGAGCGAGGGGGCCCTAGAGGTTCTCTCACTCGGCCTCCTGGGGTTCACAGTCCCGGGGGGCCTGGGAGGGTCTAGGTAGGTGCGGGAGGAGGAGAGGGGGGCGGGCGGAAAGGAGGACCAGCATAGGCAGAGGTGTGGATGGGGTGAGGCAGGAGGCGTGCTGGGGCCTGTGACTACTCCCGTGGGGATGGGGGGCAGTGTGGGGGCTTCCGGCTTCTTTGACAAATATTTATCTGCGTGTTATGAATACGACATAGAGGAATGAGAAGGTGTGAGTAATGGTGGCGGGTTCTCCTGTGTGCCGGGCGCTGTGGCACTGTGCTTACCGCCCCGTTCGTGGTTCAGAGCTCCCCACCGCCAAGATCACGGAGCACCTGTGTCCATTTGGGGAGGTCTCACAGAGGAAGGACACTTGTTTGAAATCTTGAAGGACGGGTAGGTGTTTGCCGGATGGGTGTGGTCTGGGAACAGCTCGGGCAAAGGTCTCGGGGTGTGACACTGGGTTCCATTCATGGCTGTCATCCGGAGCCCAGGAGGTGGCCTGGAGGCTCTTAAACTTTACTCTGATGGATGTGTCCTTCCTGGACACCACCGAGTGGGTTTCAATGCTGAGTTCAGACTTTTCCCACATCTCTTGCTGATGAAACTATGGGTCCTGTCTTCCAGAGGCGGCGCCACCTCCTGGCAGCTCTGTCATCATGCCGCCATCTTTGTACGAGGATCAGCCAGGGCAGTCGTGGAAGGGTTGACGGCATTTGAACCTGACGACTGTATTACAATGATTGGAGGATGGGGCAAAATTGGATTCTAATGACAAGAATAGTAATTCTTGTGGATGCAGCCAACTCGCGATAAGAGGGAACTCTGGAGGTGGTCCCCAGTGGACACATCGCTGGTCCTGGTTACAGAGTCTCTGAATTTGAGTTGGTTGACTGGGCGTTCCAATAGGAAGGAAAAAATCAAATTGAAAAATCATATGTATGAACTGCTGGAAATAGCTTCTCAAAGATTGTGCTTAAAAAGCAAGTCATGCATAAAGATTTTATGGTTTTTTATTTGCCTAGGATGTGGACTCTCCTCCTGATAATGTGTTGCTTGGCATTCCCATGTATGATGCTGTGTTCATGTCATGTTGAATTGAACCTGGATCAGGAAATTGGCTCACTGGCTTAACTGAAAGGGCTCATTTGCCGCACCCAGCAAGATGGCCAGAGGTGGGCAGCTGCTGGCTTGGCCCAGCATCTCGGAGAGTTTCTTGGGCTTTCCCTCCTGCTTTGTGCCTCATGGTCCCAAAGTGGCTGCCACTT